GAAGATTGTAAAGCGGTAGTCATCGATTGTTATACAAGCACGGTCACAGAGCTCAACATGACCAAAAATTTGATTCCACGTGATGCCGAATCACCAAGGTGGATGAGTTTCACGCCGGTTCCACGTTCTTGTTCCTCGATCTTACTTTCTTTCAATCCGGAAGACCCCAAAACACCTCGAACATTAGCATCACCAACACAAAGTTCGTTTGCGACACAGAGTTTCCTTAACAGTTCAAATTCGTTGAGTAGGGCATCGTCATCGTACAGCGGGCTTGAAAAAAGGAATTCACGGAGCACCAGCTTACCTGTACCGTCAACGGAAAGTAAGTTTCTTGAAGACATGTCTACGAGTAATTCAAATGAAAATGATTCGGATTCGGATGATGATTCACAGCAGATTCTAGGAGTCTCTGAAAATTTATTCATCTGCACAATTTCCAACGTTTCACATATTGTTAACATACGTGCCGAACCTTATGCCTATACTCGTCCTATACGTTGGACATCGGAACCTAATCGAATCTCACTATTACCAACTATTGACGATATATTCGTCATAGCGTTCGAAAATCAATTGGTTGAGGTGGGATCAACGAAGACGGGTAAAATTGTAAAGACGGCAGCAAGTGGCGCTCCTGTTAAATATTTGGGAGAATCTTGGAGAAATCCTATTCCCCACAAGGTACCGAAGAAATATAAATTTGACGAGGGAATAAAGAGAAATGTATTTTGGTCATGTGAAATGGGAGATGAAATCTATATCTATCGTGGGGATGTATTTGGAATAAATTAGTCAACAGCTTCAAAGATTGTATATATACATTGTATATCTTTTATCTATTTGCACATGGACAACGTGTTAGCATTATTTAATTAAATACTTTACGCGTTTAACTACAAAATATCTTGTATATTCTCAGTCGGAAATAGTCATCAATTATTTTTTTAAAAAATTAATTCATGCATACATTTTATGCAACATAAGGGGCGTAAACTCATACATAAAAACTTTTTTCTTTTTTTTCGGTTAAAGAAAGATAATAAGATTCATTAAAGCTTACGTGTTCGGTATACAATAAAGTCGGATTCTTATTATGTAAAAAACAATCGGAAGAATACCCAAAAGAGAAATCTATTACAAAAGAATAAACTATACTATTTATTTCACGTAATGCAAAAAGGTATGTAAAAAATAACTTTGAAATTAGACTTAAGGTAATAGTAAAGTGATGCATGAATTCAAAGAATATTAAAAGTCTGGAAGTCTTAATGTTAATGTAAAAATCACGCTCGCGAAGTTTTTTATTCACACTGTATGTCTAATCACGCGGTAAAATTTTTGACTGTATTCTTATCGATATCTTGAAGGCCATCTGTCACAGATATGTACGTCAAACTATTATAAAATGTTAGAGCGTGGACCCAATAAGCTGCTCGAAAGCTGAAAATTAAAAGTAAAATATTGCTGAAGATAAATAAACTATACCAACTGATGCCAAATAGATTAGCTAATACACCAGATGGGATTTACTAAGAAATGGAAATCTTATCACCAATTTAAATCACCTAATCTATTGTAAAAAATCAACTCAAAGACATTCTGATTATATTTTTTATATTAACTAAAAATATAATTCATGATTTTAAAGTCTATCAGTTTAGTTTGATTTGTAAGATTTTTATTGATTTTTTTTTTTTTTTTGTAAAGTATTTCTTGAAATATAATCAATTTGATTTAATTTTTACAAATTTTTTTAAAATTTTATAAAATTGTATATATTTTAAAAATCTAAAAACAACCATTTACTATTATCAATAAAAAAAATTTTTTTTTGTTATTATAAAAAATTTTTTTTTCAAATTTTCAAACAACAACAATAATAATAATTAATTAAAAAAAAAATAGTATTAAAATGATTTTTCTCTATTAAACATAATTGATAAATAATTTTATAATAATTTATATAAATATTGATCCTAATTACTATTTTTAATAAATTACAAATTTGAACTATTTAATTAATTAAATATTAATTATTTTACAAATAGAATTATACAAAATACAATATATTATTATTATTATTATATTAACTGAAATATTTATTAATCTTGTAAGTAAATATCAAATAGAATAATAGAATAGGTTTAATTAATTAATTAAATAATATTAATATTAATTTTCAATTAAAATATATTAAACTACAATTTTTTTTAATTTTAAAAAAAAAAATCAAAATTAACTTAATTCCTTTAATTAATTAATACTTGGCAATTGTTTAATCCGATTTTATTATAATATTTAAACAATAACTATCTAATCTATTTAAATTAATTTATTAATTAATATAACAACAATAATAACTATAACAAATTTATTAATTATCATAATAATCATTACTTATACAATATATTTCATGTTCAAATATTTATATTAACAAAGATTTTAATAATAAGTAACAAGAAATAAAATAGATTAAATAAAAAAAATTTTTTTCTTGTTTTTTTTTATATTTTTAATAATAAGAAATAAATAATAAGATATTTATTTTGTAAAAGGAATTTGGTTTAATAAATAAATTAATTAATTATTCCAAATATTTAAATAGTAAATGTACATACAGTATATACTTTAAAAATATGATGAACAAGATTTATTCGATCATGGTCCCAAGATTTTTGAGCGCGGCATTTCACAAGTTCACAGAGGCTCGGGGTAACCAATTCAGCTAGAGCCTGATTTAATCAGCATACTATAAGTATGACGTGAATCAAAATTTGACTCGCAAGAAAAACTTGGAACTATGATATAATTATGAGAAAATGAACGCGATAGCAAAAAAAAAGATTATGTAATAGATTATAAAAATATGATAAAAGTATTCTATATTAAAGAAATTGTTTATTTAAGAATATTAAAGACGTTACTTTTAACAATTTCCTTTTTATATAAAAACCGAGAAACAAAAAGTCACAGATCCATTTTTCTATATTATTCACTTGCTTCAAACAATGGGAGACAATGGATCGTATCTCGGGGCTGAACGTGGTCCTCTCTCTGGTTTGCATACTGAAGAGATTGCTGAGACAACCGAAGGCTATTTAATGGGTGCAGCCCAAACAGGTTCCTCTTTAGCCAGTTCAGTTGGAGCTGCTAGTAGAGGCGCATCCGAGGTTATCAGTCACACTACTGAAAGCTTCGTCGAAAAAGGTATGGATGTGCTTAAACATCCCGGGATGTACCTCCAACCACTCTACAAAGCCTCCATGTATCTCTGGCAAAACTTTCCACCGATTAGCTGGTTCGGTTATAGTGCAGCGGCATTAAACGCTATCCCGATAATCATCCTGCTAGGATTTTTGTTTGGCACGTGCGCTTTTGTGCTTTCTATTGCCGGTATCGGAATTTTTTTAGCCGAAGGATTTTTTTTAGGCTTAGGTTTATTATTCCTGGTACCTGTAGTTTGTGTCTTGACTTTTGCAACCCTTACTACGTCATTCTTCACCGTGTTTGGGTACGGATGTTATCGTGCGGCAGTGTTTATTCTCCGTGGGCTTGGTGTACTAGGCGAAGAAATTTTAGTAGATACAAAAGGAGCCATTCGGGGAATGGAGAGAGCAGCCAGACACTTACAGGATGAGTGATTAGATTACAGTATTTAGCGGAGATGGGTTATGCTATTATGTGATTTTAGGTTTATAATGTCGCTTAACTTTTCTGGTTTTCTTTTTCGAAATAGTACTCTGTTTCATTCAATGATCTATATGCTTTATACTTACTTAAATTCTAAAAGTTACTTGTTACTATTTTGCATGATCATGGATTTTTTAGTTCAGCGAGTAAGAGAAATGATGTTTCGCGAAAGTTGTTGCAGTAATATTGAGATTTATTAAAATATAATAAACGTACAGTATGTACAGTATAAAAATTTGAAATGAGAATAAAAAACCAAGATCCTGGAATCAAGTATTGGTGTATGGAATTGATTCGTATATGAAAAGTTTTGAGTGTATTATGTTTGGTCTATTTAATGCTACTTTGGATACCTTTTTCTGTCGACATCAAGAACATCAATTCAACTAACGAACGCGAGCATTTCGTAAAATACACATCAAGAAACTTATCATTTTCTAATTAATTTAAAAACATATACTGTATATCTATTATTGTCCTATTACTTTGGAGATTTTAACTATATAATTTAGACCGATATTATACATTATGAGTTTTTAAAGCTCAAATAATGATACAGTATATCAATGATAGAATATATCGTCGCATGCCCATCAAGTTTTTTAGGAACACAAAGTTCAGGGACTTAGTCGATTATTAGATAAAGCATATACGCCAATCAAGTCAAAAATGCCTCGAGTTAACAACACTAGGTAGATTTAAATATTAGGTGACCGTAAAGTATTATCATTAATGTATATAAAAATATTCTCAACTTACATAAGTTAAATATTAGTTTATCAACTTATCTAGATTATATTAAAAAAGAAATTTTAAAACCAACATATTATTTAGATAGTAGCATGTTAAATCATGCAATTTAAGAAAAACAAAAAAAAAAAAATTTTTTTTAAAAACAAACTAACATATTAATAATTAATAAAGAATCTTTAGTATTATATTTTTGATTTATATAGCTGTAAAATTAAAAAAATGTATTTTTTAATGAATACTTCAAACTGCAATTTTTAATTAATATAAATTATTAAATTTGAGAGTTTTTAAAGCCAAATAAGATAATTCTAATATTTTCTATTAATAAGTCTGTTATTATATTGTAATTATTGATTATATAATATTAAAAAAGATATTTAAAATATAAGTAATATATTAAATAATAAAATAATAAAATAATTAAAAGATATTTTATTATTATTATTATTTTATACAATTTACTTCTTTTTATATATAGAAAAAAATTTTAAAATTTTAAAAATGTTATAATTTTTTTGAGAAGTTTTTCCTATAGTGTCATATATTATTTTTACTTTGGAAAAAGGATAAAAATAGAAAACTGATAGCAGAGAGACATTTTAAATGGATAAAATCAATATTATATGCTAAAGTTCCTAAAGATATACAAATTAGTACAGTTCTAAAGTATATAAGATTAAGCAAAAAAGGTAATAGTAATTTGTTTATAAAGATTAAAATATTTATTTAATAAAATATAAGTTTAAGCTTACCAATTCCTAAGCAAAATTGGAGACTTTATATATATATTTAAGTTATATTATTTTTATATATAATAAATATAAGTAACCTGTGGGTCTGTAGTGTAGTGGTTAACACTCCACAGGTCAAATTACAAGATACCAGTTCAACCCCATGTGAGGGTGGTTGAATAGAATTAATATGGTATCTGGTGTCATAACCTGTAAAAAGTGCCATTTCTCATAGAAAAACCATGTCACACGCTGATCCAGTGGGCTTTGAGATTGTGATTTCCAAAAAAGGTGTCGTGGCATGACGATCGTCCGGTTGGTGTTACGGTAATCGCCGGAAGTTGTAAGGAGTATGAGATGTTCGCTTTCGGTAAAGATGGCTTGGTGATCGTTTCCCCGTGGTACCTGGTGTCTCTTCCTACAAAGATAGCCAGAAAGGTCCTATTCCAATTCAGTAATAAATCACTCTGGTGGTTACTTATCCCGAGAAGGCGGCCCAGCAATAAGACCGCTAGGTAACCTTGTGGATACCTAAATGGGCTGTAAGACCTGATGACATAAGTTCCTTGGACGTTCTTGAGTAGCTTGAGGGGGGTGGAAATTAAATAGAAATCGGTGCGTCCAGCTGCAGGTGGTCAGATCTGGAAGGTTAACTAGTTAGTGTTCTATTTGCCAAATATAGGTACTACCCCCAGTGCCCCAAAAATTCAAATTCCTCTTAATTTCGCACAGTGTCAAATAGAACATCTAGTTTAAATCAATAGGATGTATTGCAGTAATCTTGAGACGGCAATACATTAAGGTA